TATATATATATATATATATATATATGTATGTGTGTGTGTGTGTGTATTAAAAGAAGAACCAAGAGGTAATTAGGTGCATCTTGAGAATTAAGTATTGAAGTATTAGTTAATTGTGTTTGTGTTTGAGATATCTCACTTTGATAAGAGATTGAAAGATTGACTCTCTTTTGCAAAATAAATCTTATTATATAAAAATAAATTGTATTTACAATCATCAATATATATATATATATATATACATATCAATCTTTATATATATATATATGAAAGTAACATCCACAAGAAATGATGTGAAACCCTAAGAATTAAGTATTCTATATTTCTAGCATTGAGGTTTGTATCATACATTGATGGAGAGAAAGATTGGCAATTGATGGTAGATATAATAGGAGGTTAAAGTGTCTTTGTTTTCACTCATGGAGTTGGATTCTCTTGTCTAATCCTATAAACTCATATTGTCGGCTCATGTTGGCTAACCCTCCAAACTCATAGGGCTGGTTCATTTTGGCCAACGCTCTATTTGCAAAATGTTATCTATATAAAAAATCAATATATCTTTATATGTATCTCCATTGTGTCAATTCATGTGGTTTTTGAGTCATAAGGTTATCTTATTTGGATGATCTTATTTTTGCAAAACAAATCTTATTATATAAAAATAAAAAATGAATTATCTTTACAATCATCAATATATATATATATATATATATATGTGTGTGTGTGTGTGTGTGTGTATTTATATATTTATATTTTTGTGTGTGTGTGTATATATATATAGAGAGAGAGAGAGAGAGATGAGCGATCAAATACGAACCACCCAATTTGTACAAACCGTACAAACCAACCTCATCTGTCGATTTCATTGTTTAATCTTATTAAAAAAATTTCATGAAATTGTTTCATATAATACTTTTTTTTATGAAGTTGTTTCATATATGGTTATGAAATTGTTTCATATAATACTTAATGAAATTTTAATGAAATTGTTTCATGTATTTCTCTAAATTTCATTAAGTATTATATGAAACAATTTCATTAAGTATTATATGAAACACTTTCATTAAAATTTCATTAAGTATTATATGAAACAAATTCATAACCATATATGAAACAACTTCATCAAAAAAAGTATTATATGAAACAACTTCATCAAAAAAAGTATTATATGAAACAATTTCATAACCATATATGAAACAACTTCATCAAAAAAAAGTATTATATGAAACAATTTCACAAGATTAAACAATTTCATGAAAAAATTTCATAAGATTAAACAATAAAATCAACAGATGAGGGTGGTTTGCACGGTTTGTACAAATTGGGTGGTTTGCATTTGATCGCTCCTCTCTCTCTCTCTCTCTATATATATATATATATATATATATATATATATTAAAAGAAGAACCAAGAGATAATTAGCTGCATCATGAGAATTAAGTATTGAAGTATTGGTTAATTATGGTTGAGTTTGAGATATCTCACTTTAATGAGAGGTTGAGAGATTGACTCTCTTTTACAAAACAAATCTTATTATATAAAATTAAATTATGTTTACAATCATCAATATATATATATATATATATATATATATCAATCTTTATATATATATATGTATATGTATATATGAAAGGAACATCCATAAGAAATGATGTGGAACCCTAAGAATTAAGTATTATATATTTCTAATATTGAGGTTTGTATCATACATTGATGGAGAGATGAAAGATTGACAATTGATAGTAGGTATATAATAGGAGGTTGAAGTGTCTTTGTTTTAACTCATAGAGTTGGATTCTCTTGGTTAATCTTATAAACTCATATTGTTGGCTCATGTTGGCTAACCCTCCAAATTCATAGGGCTAGTTCATTTTGGCCAACGTTCTATATGCAAAAACGTTATCTATATAAAAAATCAATATATCTTTATATATAAAAAAATAAGTTCCAAAAGAAATGATGATGACATCCTAAGAATTGAGTATTATATATTTCTTGCATTGAGGTTGAGTTTTGTTTATCCCACATTGATGGAGAAATGAAAGATTGACAATTGACGGTAGATATATGAGATGGGGTTGAGGTGTCCTTGTTTTAACTTATGGGGTTGATTTTTTTTTGCTAATCCTATAAACTCATATTGTTAGTTTATGTTGACTAACTCTTCAAACTCATGGGGTTGGTTCATTTTGACCAAGCCTTTATTTGAGAAAAAATTATCTTTTTAAAAAATTTATATATATATATATATATATATAATGAAAATTTTAGGATATTGAGGTGGCACCATGAGAATTGAGTATTCTCAAATGGTGGATTGTACTTGAGTTTTAATTGTCCCACATTGGTGAATAGTTGAAAGATTTGAACAAAATGAAATGTATAAGAAAGTGGATTGGATGTATTTGTGTCAAATAATAGGGTTTATCTCATAAGATTGTCTTATTTTTGGATGACCCTATTTGAAATCTATAACAATAGTTGGAAACCAAACCAATCAAAAGGTAAAAATTATATTGCAAAATTAATATATTATATCTCTATATATATAAAGGTAAAACATTGGGGTGATGAGGTGGCACTATGAGAATTATAAAAGTAAAACGTTGGGGTATTGTGGTGGGACAATAAGAATTGAGTTTTCTAAAATGGTGAATTTTGATTAAGTTTTAGTTGTCCCTCATTGGTAAAGAGTTGAAACATTTAAACAAAGTGAAGTGTATAAAAAGACAGATTGGTGTCTTTGTGTCGATTCATTGGGTTTCTCATAAGGTTTGTCTTACTTTGGATGACCTATTTTTGAAATCTATAACCATGGTTGGGATCAAAACTAACCAAATTGAAAAAAAAATTATCTTTATATATAAAAAAGAAAACATTGGGGTATTGAGGTAGCATCATGAGAATTCAGTATTCTCAAATGGTGAATTGTTGTTGAGTTTTAGTTGTCCCACATTTATGAAGAGTTGAAAATTATGAATAAAGTGTATAAGAAAGATGGATTGGATGCATTTATGTCAAATCATGAGATTTGACTCATAAGGTTGTTTTATTTTGAATGATCGTCTTTGAAATCTATACCACAGTTGGAATCAAAACTAAATAAATGGTAAAAATTATAGTGCAAATATAAAAATGAAACCAAGGATGATGATTTGGCAACATGAGGTAGTTATTTATCTATCGTCTTGGTGTTACTACTATCAAGGTTTGATACACCCCTCTAATTACAATTCAAATATTATAAAATGTTACGATAAAGTGTAGTATTTTTACAGTTTAATATCTGATATTTGAATCATCGACCCTACTTGATATTATTTTTTTTTTGTAAGGGAAAATACATTATTTTAGTTTGGTGATGTGGTTTCTTCATGCATCGCCTTGAACTTCCACTATTGTTGCTACAACTTACGCACTCCTCTAATTTTTACTTTATATATTATAGAACATTTCTTTCTCATAACTTTAAAATGAGATTTTAATTAAATCTGTTACAAAAACAAAATCGTGATTTTGTCACCTTAGATGAGATTTCAGTTAAAACTGTAACTTCTAATTAAACAAACTATTAACATTAGTCAAACATTTGTAGAGTACTTTGCAACACCGTTCTCGAACATAGTTAGATAACTTATATTAGCATATGGTTCTAAAATTGTTGTCAACTCCTCTTAAAAACTTTTAATGTAAATGAGTAGTTGTCACACACATTTGCCTAATTTTTTTAGAGGTGGACTTCAAATTTTAGTCTATAACATTTCTTTTGAAGGTAGTATTATCGTTACCGAACAGCGCTTGATTGGAAGACTAGTATTATATTAAAGGAATTTAAGATAACACGAAACGTATAGGAGGAAGGATGCGTGGGTGTTTAGGATAAAGAAGTTGTAAAGCAAATTACGTGGAATAATTATATTTAAAGAAATTAATAGATAAGATTATAGATATAGTATCTAACGATTACACCTCACATTATATATATATATATATATATATATATTTGTATTTTCTCTCTTATGATAATTATTAAGAGATGTTTTTATTTGTAAATTCAATTATTAATTACAGGTTCAAATATGTAAATTTAAAAAAACACATCCAGAAACATATTTTGCGGATCTATAACTATTTATATATTTGGTCCCTATAATTGCATACTTGAATTACAAACTTCTTTTTTTACACTTTTAACACCTACGCAAAACTGCCTAGGGTGTAAATGATACGAATCGAGTTCGAGTATCGATATACCCAACTTGAACTTGATATTCGTTTCTCAAAGTGTAACTCGACTCGAAAACTCGTGAATAGTTAAAAACTAAACTCGATTGCAATTTTTTAAACTCGAACTCGTTTGAATCTCGAATCAAGCTCGAACTAAAACTCAAATCAAGCTCATCCGTTTTAATTTATGAAATTTTAGGGTCTTCTCTTATAAATTATAAACTTAAAGGTGTGCTCTTGAATTTTATAAAACTAAAGAAATGCACCTCAAACTTCATTATCAAAAAAACAAAGTTACTCTCTCTCATTTTATAACACTTTTTCACCCTTCATTTACTATCTTTCTTTTAATATGGGACAATTTCACCGACACTTCTATAATTTTTTTTTGTCTTCTTTTAGTTGTTATTTTAATAAATAAACAAAAATTGATTAGTTTTTGTAATTAAAAAATACACGACTTTGTTCAAATATCTAAAATTATAAGATATCTTTATTATATTATATTTTATAAATTATAATATAAAATTGATTATACTACTTTATATATATATATATATATATATACATATATATATATATATATATAATCAAGCATCTCACGAGCTTTTCGAGTTGAGTATTGAGTAGCTCGACTCGTTAATATGTCGGATCGAGCTCGAGTTTGAGTCGAGTGTTGACCGATTCAATCTCAAGTAGTTCACAAGTTGTCTCGTATCATTTACACCCCTAGATCTATCAATTGCAGACCTATGACTATTTTCGTTATTTTGGGAGATAAATGGTTAAGAGATGAACCCACCGTGAAAAATAACTATTTTAATTAATTTCCCTTGTTTTAATTGAAAATCCCATTTTAAATTAATTTAAATTTGTAGGTTTATCTTTTATCATAATGAAATTAACTGATTTTACAAAACAGAGTTCATTGTATAACATTTTTAGAGGAAATAAATTAAACCTGGATTGAAGAGTGGAGATGTGGGCCCAATATCTCCGATCATGTATTCCGGTGATCTTCATCCCCTTCCAAGAAACCAGCATACATATCCCTCCTCTTCTCTTCTCGCTCCATACTTCCTGCACAATATAAGCCGATTAACTTGAATATCCAACCCGTTTTGTAAGCCGATTAATCACAGAATGACCCTACATGTGAACCTGGAGTCATTGCATTTGAACCCTTATCTCTAAAATGAGATTTTTATTCATCCTTAGATTTGATGGTAAGACCTTCCGGCAATTTTACCTTTGAAGTTAAGCTCATACCAATCAGACACCACCCTTAATTACCATTAATGGCGTTTTTTACGCATACAATTAAAGAGATGCTTGAATACCTTTGTACCAGAGGAGATACGAACCGGACGACACAATCTTGCATAGATATCTTTTTTAGACAAACGGCAATCATACTCGTAAACCTTAAGCAGTTTCTTCACAAGAACACCATAGTTTTCCGGCAACTTCGATTCCCATAAAACATCAGCACACGAAGCTCGATAAAAAGCTCGATTCACATGGGCCAACTTACAGATCTCTGGAGGGTCAAAGTGGTCGAGCACCATGGCCAAACAGTTTTCCGGCAAGTCTCCGAGACCACCCAGCTGTTTCGGTGGAAGATGACTGCAACTCGCCGGAGTTTCATCATTGTTGACCGGAAAATTGGTCGAAAAACCAGAACCCATGTACACAAATTAAAGGATTTTGTTGGTAATAAATGAGATCGGAAGATGTTTTGGTTTACACTTAATTCTTCACCAAATGTTTGTATCTGGCTTTCTTATTTATGGCATCAGCCTGATACCCTTTTCTAATAATAAATTGATTTTTGTATCTACAATCTTCCAATAATATAACCTTTTTTTTAAATCTGTTTTTAAAGGGTTAAATTGGTGTCAATAAACCAATTTTTTTGGTATCCATTAGTTTTTCTTGGGTTTCTTTCAGTCAAATCATCATTTCCCTCGTTTAAATTTGTCTCCTAACTATTTCTTTACCAGATTGACTCAATTTCACTATTTCCGCAATATCAAAGATCAAAAATTCAACTCAAATATGCAATTGCGACAGTCATATATGCAACTGTGACAGTCAGATCTGCAATAGCGACGATAAGCTGGTTAAATTTGACATTTTTTTGTATTTTAACTATGTCCTCAATATTGTGGAACTGGGTATTGTATTGCAGATGTAGTGGCATCGGGGTCAATATGGAAGAGAAATAATTATAAGGCCAATTTGAACGAATAAAATGGTCATTTGAGCTAAATTTTGTTTTCTGGGTTAGATTATGTACACTGACTAATCACTCGGGTGACCACGAATGACTATTTCTGATTACGAATGATCTGAAATTATCACAGATGAACCTTTATAATTAGAATGGCTTGAACGTAAAAGATTTGATTCCTTTATTTTAGAAAAAAAAAAAGCTTTAAAACTCTTTATTTTAAAGCATTGCAACTAATTTTACTTTTGTTTCTACTTAAAATAGGAAGTGTTATTTTAATGCAGGTTTTCTATTTTAAATTTACGCATGAATTATTTTATTTTTTTTTTCTCAATAAATAATATTTTGAATATTTAATTAGCTTTAAATGAATTTAAAAGAGACAAAATATAAAACAAATTCCGAATAATTAAAGTTAGTGGAAAAAAACAATAAGCGAGTGATTAGAATTGATTTGATAGTCGGTACTAAACCATTCATATATTTGTAAATGTTAACAATATTAATTTTGGATTGTAAATTAATATCATGCATTTAAAAAAAATATAAAATTAATATTAACATATTTGTTAAGAAATAGTAATGAGATTAGTTGTTGTCTTAATTGAGAGTAAACTACAAATTTGGTCCATGTTATTTGGTGGTTATAACAATTTTGGTCTCTACAGTTTTGAAATTATAAATTGATCATCGTGATTTACAAAAATGATCGGAATTGTTCCTTGTCTCTAATAACCGTTAAAAAAACCCAGTTAAGTTAGGAGCATTTTTGTCTTTTCTAGTTTTATGTCATTTTATGTTAATGATGTTTAATTAATACCTTTTATATCATATTAATTAATTGTATATATAAAACATATAAACACGATGCATGCTTTCCTTCCACACCTATATGCCTCATCCCCTTCCAAACGGTTGACACGTCATTTCCTCCCACAATGACTGGCGATTGGTGCCTACTCCGTTAATCACCACCATGACCACCGCTGAGGTTTCTCCCTTCTCCCTCTCACTTGTTTTCTCCCCTTCTTCCCTATTGCCTTATTTCTTCTTGTCGACCTCAATATAGGAAAGGTATATCTCGGTGAATCTCCCTTCCTGGTGAATGCACCAACCACTGCATCACAATCAATCAACCCACCACTTGTAAATTGACCGCTTCCTCAATATCTTTCTATAAATCTAGGGTTCGTGTTTCATTCTTGAATTCGTTATTAGTTGTTATTAAGTTTTTGACCCCTTGATTGTTTGGTCTTGGCTTGAATTTTTTTGCACATTTCCATGGATGTTGCTCTTGGTTCACCCTAAATATCATATTCATGCAAAAAATGGGATTTAATTGCAATCAAAGCAATCAATCTTGAAATCAGATCTCGCCTAGGCTTTCTCCTCTGCTTCTACTATACTGGTTTAGACTGTGCACCAATTAGGATTTTGTATTGATTTTGATTTGGATTTGGTTTCATCTATTAAGTTCGCATCAGGGGGTTGATTTTGACTTTGATATTGATTTGAAGTTTGGTGCATGGATTTAAATATAGGTTTGATTTGGATTTGTTCGAAGGTTCGGCCAGAGAAGATGGTCGTAGGAAGAGTACTCGAGAAAAGGAAAGGGGTGATACGGACACTTGTCATTATATTGATGGACCAATCTAAACGATTTTTACTATTTTGTAAGTAAAACGATAGACTACTAGAAAAGACAAAAATGCCTTTTACTTAATTGGTTTTTATAACATTCATTAAAGGAAGGACCAAACCCGGACGTATTTGCAAACCACGATAGCTAATTTGTAATTTTGAAACTATAGGAACCAAAAGTGTTGTAACCACAAACCAAAGGGACCAAATCTATATTTTACTCTTAAATTGGTCTTATTAAATATTTAATTAATAAACATCTTATATTTTTGGAAGTTAAAAAATTTAGTGATGTGATTATAATAGCATAAAATGGGTGACGACAAATGATAGTCGGCATTAAACCATTCATATGTTTGCAATTATTAACTTTGGATTGAAACATCTTAAATAATATCATGACATTTAAGAAAAATATGGTATTTGTTTTAAAATATTAAAAAAAAAAATCTGAATGACAATTGATCCAAATTAGTACATTTTTTTGGAATTATATACCTTTTCTTATTTATTTTTATAAACTTGATTTTAATTTAAAGACAATATTAAATAAAAAAACTCGATTTCTAATGTTGCATTATTATAAGGACGAATACATAATACTATTTTAATTTTAATGTTTTGTTTTATAATAAGGTTTTGTATGTTTTTGAGAAAACGATAATCTTTTTATATTTGAATAAAAAATAAATGTGAAGGAAAAAAAAAGTTACATTCATATTAGTATCAAATTAAAAACTTAAAAGATAATTTTTAAATCAATCTTTTTATTACAATTTATATATATATACACATACACCCGAATGATTGTGTGAGAATAGGAGTTAAGTGTAAAAAAGGGTTTGGACCCTTGATCATTTTTAATGTCAAACCAACCCAGCCACAATTACATTTTAGAAATGAATTGATCTGATGATTCTCACTAGTGTTGATTTAGTGGAACTCTTCAATTGGGATTGATCCAAATGTGGAGATCATTTCTTACCCTTATCACCTAACTCTCATTCTTACAGGAAACCGACCTAACCCAACCCTATATATATATATACATGATCCCAAGTCTACATATGCATACATATATACAGGTGTAGGATCGTGTTTGAAGGAGAATTAAGGAGAGAAACGTAAGAAGGGATCTGGATCCTTGATCACCTTTAATCTCAAATTCACCAATGAATCGTGTTCGATACGGGGATTGATCCGGTACATCTCGGTGCATCTCATGCTAATGTATATCCAAAGATAGAGATCGCTTCTTATATTTCTCACGTTAACTCTCTTTCTTATTGGAATTCAACTCTTTCTCTCTCTCCCTATAATATAATATATATATATATATATATATATATATATATATTATGTTGTAGACTATTCATGGGGTAATCAACTTAAATGACCATATTGACCCACCCTTTTAAAAAAATAGGCATTATTTTTTTTTCAAAATGTTCAAAATCCCACGAGTCTGACAATACAAACCATCTTTTGTTTGCGGTTGTCAAACTTTTTCTCACCAAAATCAGACAAAAAAAGAAACCGTGCGCACAAAAATAAAAACCTCAACTTGGGGAAATTAGTTTTATAAAAAAAAAAAAAACGTCTTTTAATTTGGAAAGTCATAAATACGTCAATTCCACTACTTGCAATTGTTTCATAGGATGGAAATGCAACACGTTTGTTCCATAAAATCATGCCAAATATAAAACAATAATTCATGTTCGTTTTTGTTCTCTTCTGAACAACACATCCTTAAATTAATTACCGACCATTTATGGAGCAATATTAAAGAGAAGTAAAGGTGTAAAAAGGTTGAAATATGATTGGAGATGTGAGGGGAGGGATGAATTTGAACCGCACAAGCATGGGCGGTTTGGTTATATATGTATATATATATATATATATATGTATATATATATATATATATATATGTATATATATATATAGGTGGAGGTTCAAACGAGAACCCCTGTGATTTACGAGAACGCAAGAACAACTCAATAACCACAAACTTTTTTAATTAATAAATTAACTTTTATTATATATAAATAATTTAATAAGGGCAGTAATGTAATTAAGTAATTTTTATAATTTTTATTTTATTTTAATTAACCATGTTTATCTTCACGTTTCCACGTCTTCTTCTCCTTC